AGAATCACTAAAAGAATATGAAAGACTATTACAAATAACTGCATACCTTCCAGTTTGAGAACTTAGACAAATGGACAAATTTATTGAAAGAAAAATATCAGGCCTGGCACCGTGGCCTTAGTGGCTGAAGTCCTCGTCCGGAACAGGCCAGGATCCTATATTGGCGCCGATTCTAATCACAGCAGCTTCACTTACCATCCAGCTCACTGCTTGTGGCCTGGGAGGACAGTCAAGGACGGCCCAAAGCCTTAGGATCCTGCATCCACGTGGGAGACCCGGAAGAGCATCTAAGCTCCTGGCTTCGGATTGGTGCAGCACCTGCTGTTGCGCTCACTTGGGGAGTGAATCATTGGACGGAAGATCTTCCTCTCTGTCTGTCCTTCTCTCTGGATATCTGACTTTCCAATAAAAAATAAGTCTTAAAAAGAAGATAAATATCAAAATAACACATAAGAAACAGCCTCAAAAAATTGGATGAAAGCTGAAGACCTTAGCAGAAAACACCAATGTCAGATACTTTTACCTGGCAAAAATGTACAGAAAAGCAAAAGTATGATTGGCTTAATAACTTAAAAGATCTTCCAAAATTCAAGGAAAAGAATGTGAAGATAAATATTCCTGGGTTTCAATTCTTTTTCATTAAAATAGGCTGTTGAAGCTAATCATCCATGGGCTTTTGAAGTACCCTCATAGTTTATGTTCTAGGAGTCATGCCTTCTTAATGATGCACATAACTGAGAAAGGACTTTAAAGATACTGTAATCTGAGCTTTACAACAAAAGCTTACAAAAATATATTTGAATATTTTAACCTAGAGATATCACCTAATTTCTGCACTGGAGAAAATATGTATTCCTCCGGTACCTTCAACACTGCAAAAAAGGATTTAACACAGCAGGGAAACAACCAATTAAAAGTTGAAAGGAATGCATAATGCAGCCACAAAGATAAAGAAACTCTTTATTAATTAAGAAGCCGTTCTTTGGATAGTAAAAATTATATCTTTATACTTCATTAAAGGAACCTAAAAGTTACCAGAGTATATCATATACTATGCTGTGTCTGCTTAGGAAAATTACACCAACTGATAATAAGGTTTACTAGGTGCTATAAAAACAAGTTTAGCCTAAGTTTTGAAGCCATCTATTTTTATTTAATAACTTACTAATAAACACAGATGATTTTGGTTCTCATGTATCTATTTAATATTCACCATACAGGAAAGAGCTATCCTCAGTTCATAAGGGAACACACCTTTCCAGATATTGGAAATACAAAAGGAAGAGTGCTCTGAAATTAATGCATTTGTGAAATATCTGTTTCATGAAATTAGTGGTATATTCTCACTATTCAGAAATATGTACATTTGGTTTATAATTTTTCTTAAGTTACTTTAGGTTGTCCCTAATTTAAATGAACAAATCATTAAAGTCATGAGGAAAAAAAAATGGTTGGCAGAAACTTTAGAATGGCCTTGAATCTGAGATGTGAAATACAAAAAGAATTAATTTTCTATTGTTACAGCTGTATGAGTGTACTTTATGGTGTATGTACAGGTTTCTAGACATATACATACATGTGGGAAATTTAAAATGTTCATAGTGAATGAAATTAAAAGGTACAATTGCACAGTGGATCAAATAACCCTTGGGAAGCCCACATTTTTGGTTCATTATGGTTTAATGCATTAATTATCAGTCATGTTTAATTTGTATAGGAAAAATATTTTTGCCTTGTAAACTGATGTGTATGATCTGTTAACAGTGGATTTCATCTTCAATATTACCTCTTCTCTCCTGGAAATGAGATCTCATTTGTAAACTGCTGATTTCTTGAGGGCAGTATCCCCAAAGGCTGTTAGTAAAGCATTCTGCCATCCAGCTTCACTATCGATTTGATGTTTGTTCTTCAGTTTTAGTAGAATTCATGATGCTCTGGTAGAGTCTCCTTACTCATCCTTATAGCACCCACAAATTAGATGCTCTTAGGATTGCAAGTTAATAACTGAGTTTTTACACAAAAAAGAAATTGAAATCATGCAAAGAAATAAAAATGCATTTTAATCCTTTTATAGATCTTGAATATTTCTTTTTTAAGAAATATGCTTTTCTAAAGATTTTATTTTCATTGGCAAGGCAGATTTACAGTCACAAGGAGAAATAGAAAGATCTTCCATCCATTGGTTCACTTCCCAGATAGCCACAAGGGTCAGAGCTGAGCCCAACCAAAGCCTCTTGTATGTCTCCCACGCAAGTGCAGGGTCCCAAGACTTTGGGCCATCCTCAGCTGCTTTTCCAGGCCATAAGCTATGAACATGGATGGAAAGTGGAGCAACTGTGGCTCGAACCTGCACCAATTTGTGAGCAGGAGGCAGGGGATTAACCAATTGAACCAATATACCAGCCCCAAAGAATGTAGGTATTTCTGTTGGGAGCTATATATTCCAATTTTTGCCTCTTTTGTACACCTTTTCTTTTCACAGCTGACTCTCAGTGACCCTCTTGCCTGCTTTGGCAACCTTGATGCTCTTCCAATTTCAGATTTTACTACCCTAGTCTGTCTAGTAAACAACATTTTCTGTTACTTTCTTCTGTTTGAGTCATTAAAGTAAGTGATTCTTTTTATTTTATTGAAGCTCTGTAAAATATAGTCATCCTATTGAACCAAATTTAAAGTAATATAATGCTCAGAGTCAATCCTTGTGGGCAATCCAATGCACGTTATTAAGGGTGGTCTTCCAATGAAATGAATCTATATACTTTTTAGTATATGAAAGTGGGAATGATGCATAATTAGGTCTTCATTCAATAACTGTCTCTCTACAGATATATATGCCCAATTACATTTATCCAAGGACATCTCTTTCTGAGATTGCTCGGATATCCACTTCTTTCTTTAGCAGATATATTTGTAATATTTTAAGTCAACTAATGACTGGATATACCTGAAACAACAAAGTTTGTTTTCATGTTAAACCTAAAGAAATTTAAATACTTTATATATTTTCTATAGAGCTACCAAGGAGATCTCATCATATATCTGTCATTGTTCGTAACAGATGCAAATGAAACTCAAGGTTAAATTTCTTTCAGAAAGGTTGGCTTCCTGTGGTTAAACTTCAAACCTCTTTTCTGACAAACAATGTCGATAGTTTCTTTTAAAATCATTTAAAGATTTTCTATGATAATGTAAGAATTGAGGGCCAGATGCAGTGGCTCAGTGGCTCATCCTTGTCATAGATATGCTGGGGTCCCATAAGGGAGCTGGTTCGTGGCCAGGCTGCTCTGCCATGTAGCTCTTGGCTTGTGGCTGGGAAAGCAGCAGAGGACAGTCCAAAGGCTTGGGACACTGCACCTGCATGGGAGACCTATAAGGAGCTGCTGGCTTCAGATCGGCTCAGCTCTGGCCATTGCAGCCATTTGGATTTTGAACCAGCAGCTGGAAGATCTTTCTTTGTCCTCATAAAATCTGCCTTTCCAATAAAAAGAAATCTTAGAGTTGAAAGAAAAAATCACCTTTATTAAATCTACTGAAATTAATATCATCTGACTCTAATAACTCCAAAAACTTCTTTATCATCTGCATACCTGATGAGATATTCTTTATATTTCCCCTACATTCTATATTGGAAAGATACTTATTTGGGAAGAAAATACTTCTATATACACATCTTCCTCCTAATATAAATTAGGCATCTTGTCAAGCAATAAGAAAAGAGGAAATTTCAGACCCTTGGCCTACTTAAACTTAAGATTGCTTTTCTGAATATTGTAATATTGCAAGAAGACCTTTAGCCTCTTTGTAAGATAAAGTTAATGCTTAAGCTTAAGAATTTTTAAATATTCAAAGTGTTTGGTTTAATGATTAGTGACTTATACCAAACCTCAGATGATTGGGTGACATTTTCTCAGAAGAATTTAGGAAATCTCTCCTTATATCCTTGACAGCATGAAAGTTTTGAAGAGTTGTCCTGTAAATGAAATGAAAGAGCCAGATTTTGTTTATTCTTCTTGCATAAAAGCATATTAACAATTCTATTCAGCCTGGTGCAATAGCCTAGTGGCTAAATCCTTACCTTGCATGCGTCTGGATCACATATGGGTGCCAGTTCGTGTCGCAGCTGCTCCACTTCCGTTCCTGCTCCTGGCTTATGGCTTAGGAAAGCAGTAGATGATGGCCCATGGCCTGGGCACCAGGCACCCACAGGTGTGTGACCCAGAAAAAGCTCCTGGCTTCTGATTGGCTCAGCTCTGGCCATTGAGGCCACTTGGGGAGTGAACTAGAGTACAGAAGATCTTTCTCTCCTTCTCCCTGTAATTCTGTCTCTCCAATAAAAATAAACAAATCTTTTTTTAAAAAGTATGTATTGATGTGATTTCATTTTGTTACTGGTTCATGCAAACTCCAAGGTTTTCATATATCTGTTGGTATTTTACAACAGAATTCACAATCCAGTATGTCAGAAAGAGCTAGTTGGTTTGAAAGAGGCTTTGGATTAATATATGTAAATTGTCCAAAAGGATCAGAGGCTTAAACCTTATTTTCCCCAGGGATTTTCACTATAAGCAATTGAATATAAGTTCTCTAGTATCAATTGATATTAATCTTTACAGTTTGGACAAACCTGCCTATGGTTAACTTGATATATTTTCCTAGGATTAATAGTAAACACCTAACATCAAATGAATAGTTTCCTAAATTCTAAAGTATTATATAAGCATGATTACAGACCATTAAAAAGTATGTATATAAGTAGTGAGAAATTGTTGATGCTTTCCTTATTTTGATAATTTTAGCATGTGTTTTTATCTGGAAAAAAGTACAGAATTACATATTGCATTTTGTGGTTCTAGCTACTAAAGATTAAAAATATTTTATCTGCTGGAACTTAGTGAAATTATTATCAATTATTAGGTTTTTTTGGTGTGTTCTCTAAAGCATATAATAATGTAATAGCTGTATTACTTGCTCATGTCCCAACTTCTTTTGTGTTTTATAAGATTTCCCTGCTGGCTTGGTCAATGTGGATGTCTACTGTGATGGAATCATTAAAGCCACAAGAGAGATCAAATACTACACAACTGAAAAGGCTGCGCAGTGCACAAGCAGAGTGCCAGATCCAAGAGCGAGTTTATGCCAGGTGAGTTGATCGTCCCTTGAAGTTGATCAGAATACAATCTAAAGAACCAAGGCAGGATAAGAGGATTCCTGCTTTGATATAAAGTCTGAATATTCTTTGAATAATAGAGAATTATTGATCAATAAAAAGGGGCCAAGTGGATCTTTGTGTTGCAAAGATGCAGACAAATTACTTTGCTTAGGTGGAGTCATTCCAGATAACGTCAGTGGGAGACAGCTAATCCATGACAACATCACAGTTGCGATGAATTCATTTTAAAGCTGTTTCAGAGCAGATAAAGAAAGGGAGGGATTTAAGAGAACGCTTCAGACATGAATGTCTTCTTTATTCAGACCTGGAAGGCTCAAAGTAATAAAAAAAAACTCAGTTAATCTGCCTGGCGCATTGAAAGAAAATAAACTCAGAGTGAAAATAGAGAATGCATTTTTCATGAGAATAATTCCAAGCTCATTTTGGAGTTTTCTTAGTTTCATTTCATTTCTCTACTGTTTCATACTAAAAGTTATTTTATGTTAGGAAAACTTAAGAGAGACTCCAGGAAGATTGATGCCTTGGCAGTTTGCAAAGAGGTATCTTTAAGCTCTAGTTCAGTTCTTTTCTGTGGAAAAGATCATCTCAAAAAGCTATCCTTTGGGGCCCGGCGTGGTGGCGCAGTGGTTAAGGTCCTCGCCTTGCATGCCCGGGATCCCATATGGGCACCTTTTCTAATCCTGGCGGCCCAGCTTCTCATCCAGCTCCCTGCCTGTGGCCCGGGAGAGCAGTCAAGGACAGCCCAAAGCTTTGGGACCCTGCACCCGCGTGGGAGACCCGGAAGAGGCTCCTGGCTTCGGATCGGCATAGGCATAGGTCGTTGCGCTCACTTGAGGAGTGAATCATCGGATGGAAGATCTTCCTCTCTGTCTCTCCTCTCTGTATATCCGCCTTTCCAATAAAAATAAAATAAATCTTTAAAAAAAAATAAAATAAAAAGCTATCCTTTGGAAGTTTATTACATGAAAACCCAAACCCAAGAAATTTTAGAATGTAGCAATTCAATCACAATCACTTTTCAGCCATTAGTTTACATTTTGCATTTTACATTATTGTTTATATTTTGGTTATCAGAGTCATTTTTGATTAAAAAAAGGCTTGCTTAGTGTAGAAGCTTTATCCTTTATTTATATGATTAAATGTTCAGAGTGAAATACATGTCTCTATTTATAATAATTTGATAATTATAACATTAACTAGTTGTCAAGTGTGTGTGTGTGTGTGTGTGTGTGTGTGTGTATGTATGTATGTATGTATGTATGTTTAGTTGGGAGAGCAGAAAGGAATTGAAGTGAAATAAAAGGCAGTTGAACATGGAATTTTCAAAATTGCCACAAAAAAATATCATTTGTAACAAGGCTGTTAGTGGTGTAAATTATTATGATGCCTGTGTGTTTAAGTTGATTTAGAATTGGAGACATAGTATTCATTTCACTTGAGTTTTTTCTATGAAAGTTTTTCTTTATGAATGATTTATTTTAGAACAATGAGAAAAGGTAAAACGTCTTAGGAAAGGACAATGAGAGAGATACTGTTGAATTTGCAGGTAGTATTTGAATAAAAGATACAAATCTAGTCTTCCATATTCACCATAAGTGAGTGCTACCTAAGACACTCCCTTAATTCTTTCCTGCAAATTTTCAGGGGCTCACTGGATAAGATGGTAAAAATTGGGGAGGGTGTTGTGGCACAGTAAGTGAAGTTGCCACTTGAAATACCCAGTGTCAGACTGCTGATTCCCTAGGCCTGGTTCCTCTGCTTTCAGTCCTGCTTCCTGCTAAGGAACCTGGGAAGGCAGCAGATGATAATTCAAGTTCTTAACTCCTTGCCACTTAGATGGGAGACTCAAGTGGAGTTTCATAGACCTGACTTGGCTTGGCTTGGCTTGGCTTGGCTTGGTTCAGCCCCATCTATTGCTGATAACTAGGGAGTGACTCAGAGGATGGAAGAAGGATTTGTCTCCCCTGGCCCTTTCTCATTTCTTCTCTCTGTTTCTCCCTCTTTCTATCATTCTGCCTTTTGAGTGAATGAATGAGCATTCTTTTTCACAACTCCCAAGCTGATTTTTAAGTCAACTCCTCATGTGTTATTTCCATGTTTCCTTGGCCATGTGATTCCAATTGTAGATTCCTACGTTCTGCACTAGAGCCCATTAGGCAGTTCGTTGCACCCTCTCTCTTAAAGGCATGGCTGTATTATTGTTTATCTTACATGGCCATTAACTTTCACTTACTTGAAAGGCAGGCTAGAGAGAATGACACAGAGTTAGTTCCCATCTACTGGTTCACTCTCTAAATGGCCACAGTGTTTATGGCTGGGCCAGTCCAAAACTAGGGGCTTCATCCAAGTCTCCCACATGGTTGGTGGGGGCCAAGGCACTTGTGTCATCTTCTCCTGAAATAACAGCTACATTAGTAAGAAGCTGTATCAGAAATGGAGCAATAGGCACTTGAACCAGTGCTTGTGAGGGACGCTGGCATCATAGACAGTGGGTCAACCTGCTGTGCCACAATGCCAACCTCTATTGTTATATTTTCCCCCTTGGCTTACATGTAGTCATGGCCTCATGATTTTCTTCTTAATTTCCCAGCGAGACCTTCTCAATACCTTTTGTGATTTCTTCATCCTGTGATCTAGGATGTGGAGGTCTGAATTTATATAACTCTTGGTTCTTCAGCTCTTCATATTTTTTGATAAACGTTGTCTACTGATTACACAATTAATAATGTGGTATTCAAAATTTTCTGGTAGTCCCACCTTTTCAATATCACATTTGTCTATGATTTTTCTCTTGCCTAAGATACAGTGAGAATTTCCTGAGTGCTTTCTCACCAGGAAGCTCTTTTCTATCTCCTGTTTGTTGTCTTTGGGACATTTTAAAAAAATGAACATCTCAGTATCACAGGCTGCTAGTCCAATCCTTCAATGGATTCCAATTGTTGTGTGAGTTACAAATTACCAGTCTTTGGTAGGAATCTTATAGTCCTGCAGAGACCATCCCATTTGCATTATTGGATGATTTTTTAAAATGACTTAAAAAACCAAGTTGAGAAATGATCTTTCAACCAAGCATTTGGAACTTCTGCTGCTTCCTTCTTGAACATTTAGCAGGAAGAGGTTTGCAAATTGAGTATTTGAGACTTGAAGCGGTAGCAATATGATTGATGGCATTGCAAATGGTGGCTCAATCTACTACACCAGAATGTTGGCCCCAGTTTTGTACGTTTGAAAAATGAGTGTTCAAACAGTACTACCGGTCCATCGAATTACCTTTTACCTCTTGTTCAGTGTGAGCTGGGCACATAGCTGCCAAGAAAAGTACTGCATTTTCCTTTGTGGCAAGGGGCACTAAGTAATTCCCAGTGACATGGCTTGTCAGCCTAAGTGATAAGTACAGATTTGTGAGAGCATATCATTCAAAGCTAGGTAAAATAATAATCACTCACTCACTGGAATTTTCCTTTTGATTACCTGGAATTCCAACAAGGAGGCAGTGAATTAGTCATCTGAGACCAAGAAGACAATATGCAACAGGGAAACAAAGTAAAAAATGGATTATCATATCCAGGGAGTCATGACATTAGTCCTGGACTATAATTTGAGACCCTTAAATTAAACATAAGAAAGGCTTCTGATTTAATTAAGTCAATATCACTTTATTACAGTACCAAAAATTACATGCTCCCTAGTTAGAAAAAAAAAAAAGCTATTCATGTAGGATTTTAGAGAGAAAATGAAACCAGTGTGTTGTTTCCATCAGTGGAAAAGCCAGTCTGAGATGCCAAGTCTCACTGTCAGACTTACTGGAATGTAAGGATTTTGTGAATTGTTGTGTCTGGGAGCTGATATCATAACATTGAGAAAATCTGTATTAATTGAAGATTATATAATCACTTGGCATTTCTAATTCTATTTGTTATATGTATTGTTAAAGTTTATGCTAGTGAGTCCTGGAACAGACACTTCAAAAGAAGTATTTTGATTTTTAAAATTTATGTTGTTTTGGACCTGGCATGATAGCTTACTGGCTAACTCCTTGTTTGCATGCCCGGGACCCCATATGGGCACTGATTCATGTCCCAGCTGCTCCACTTTCCATCCAACTCCCTGATTGTGGCCTAGAAAAGCAGTAGAGAAGGGCCCAAAGTGTTGGGATCCTGCACCCACGTGGAAGACCTAGAAGAGGCTCCTGGCTCCTGGCCTCAGATTTGCTTAACTTTGGCCATTTTGGGCACTTGGGGAGTGAACAAGCAGGTGGAAGATCTTTCCATATTTTCTTCTCTCTGTAAATCTGCCTTCCTAATAATACATAAATAAATCTTTTAAAATGTTATGTTTTTAATGTATCACTTCTAAGTTATATAAAGAGATTTTATAATTATATGAATATCTAATCAATAATACACATAAAATTACCTGGAGAATGTTAAATCACAATGAGTTTTACACTGTTTTATTTATTGCATTTGTAGCAAAGACCTGTTACAATTCTAAGGAACGATTCATTTTGAACTTAGATTACAACAAGAAAAGGAAAATATGTTAGATTATTCAATTAAATGATGTTTTTAGATGGACAACTTGGAGTTGAGTATTTATAGAGGGAAACAATCATTATGTAACTTTTTTTTTTTTGCTTTGCTCTTTTACCTGTCAGCTTTTTACACACTTCAGTAGGAAGTTTTGAAAATAGGCTATGTAAACTATTTATCACATTGCACTTGCAATGACTGTCTTGTCTCTTTCATGGCACATATTACAAGTAATGGAAGGACCAGTGAGGCTTTTTTTTGCTTTACTCACGAAACCTAAACTAGCACAGCAGTTTGTTACAATAAGAAAAACCAGGCTCCGTTAAGCTCAACCACTGGCCTTCCTTTCAAATAGCTGTAAAAGAGAAAGACTACAAATAGTAATGATTTTGTCCCCTATTGTGACCTTTCTCAATGCCTTTATGCTAGTTTCACAGAAATTACTTCTCATGTTAATCAAGGTTCTTTGTTACTACCCTTTATCACTTTTTTTCTTCACTGTGTCCAGAATCACTGCTTTCCCTTGACTACTTTCACTCTTCAATCTGAAAGGCAGACTTCAACATTTTTAGCCACCCTCACAGCTGGATGTGAACACGTAAGAGAGTTTAACAGTAGAGCACAAGCGGATGCTTTTCTGTTTAAAATTTAGAAGAGTATATTTGAGGGCCCAGCCTGACAGCCTTCTAGATAAATCTTCACCTTGCGAGCACCAGGATTCCATATGGGTGCTGGTTTCTGTCCTGGCTGTTCCACTTCCTATCTAACTCCCTGCTTCTGTCTTGGGAAAGCAGTAGAGGATGGCCCAAAGCCTTGACACCCTACACCCACATGGGAAAGCCTGAAGAAGCTCTTGGCTCCTGGTATCTGATCAGTTCACCTCCACCCTTTGCAGCTTCTTGGGAAGTGAACCTGCAGATGGAAGATTGTTTTGTTTTCTCCAAGACTAAAAGAAAGTCATAAACATAGCATGCAGGCAGTTTATTCTTGTTAGAAAATTGTCAATTACAATGCTCTTTAAAAAATTATTCTTTATTATATAGGCTTTTTCTGTTTTCATAATTTCAAAATTACTCATTTCTTGTGTCATAGTTCCTTTTTTGGAGTTTGTTTTGCCTTTATTTTTCTACAAATTTAAAGTTTGGCTCCTTCCTTTCTAGTGTGTACTAAAGCTTTGTATAAATCTTCTGTTTCAAATTGACTTCTTAGTGAGTGCATAAAGTTATATCATTTTCAACCCACTTATCAGTATCTTTTGCATATTTAAATTATTTACATTTAGCATTTTTGGATACATTAGGACTTCAGTCTTCATTTTTTTGAATTGTTCTGTTTTATGTCTCTTGTTTTAACTTTCCTGTGTGTTGCTTACATTTTTATTAGAATTACATCTTGGTTAATCCTTGGTGTTTTAAATGTATCTCTGTACAAATCATATTTAGTGGTTGCTGCAGGTCTGTGTGTGTGTGTGTGTACACATACACAACTTTCTGGTATCCTCATTTAAGCAATTTGAATGAAGTATGAAAATCTTACCTTCTTTTACTTCCCCTTACTTGCCACTCACCAATAAATATCTTGCAGGTTTTCTACCAAATGTTTGTCATAATAATTTTTTTAAAAAGTCTGATCTTTGTAACATCAAGTAGCTATATTCATGTAGTTACTGAATATTTGCTGGAGGGAAAAGCCAATATTTTCCTTCACTTACATACAGAAATAATCTAATCTATGAAGATGATCTCACATATCTTTAAGTCAAACAGCCTAGTATATTTAACTTATAAACAGTAATATTATCATTGACATAATCTTCTAATTCACTCTGTTATAATACTTATCAGAAAGCAAGAATTTTTGTTTTTTGCATCAATTTTTCTTTTATCTCCAAAAATTAGATAAGCCCCTCTTGCTTTCCATAGTTTTATTTTTTTCAAAAGCATTTTGCCAAAAAGATTACTCCTTATTTACAGAAACTGATAAATTTTATTGTCCCAAATTTCTATGTAAATTGAGCTAATGAAAAATTTCTCTTTCATCTGAAAACAGAACGATGTTGAGGAACTTGACGATGCCCTTGCATCTGTATTCAAACATGAGATACCGTATTACGAGTTCTGGCCTCTTCAAACTAAACCCTACCCTCAAGAACAATGTGAGTATCTTCTGACTGCATTATTTATTTCCAATACAATAAATTTCATCCTAAAAATATAGCTAGCTTCATTGATGAGTAAATGTTTTTGGCAACTCCTAATTCCTGGTAAAAGGGTCCACCCACACAAATTTGGTATCATAGGTCCCCTTGATTACTTATTTTTATTACAAGCACTAAAAATGTCCATAATATTTGAAGTTAATAAATACAGTGCCTCATAATTATTGTAAGGAATTGTCTCGATAAGCAATTTTATGAACATAATACTTTTATAAAATTATCAACAAATTAGGAAATAACTTAAACTTCCCCAGCTATGTAATAGGTTACATCCATTTTGGAATCCTCATTAATGCAAACATCAAAAATTTTGTTTACATTTTCTTTTTGACTAAGTATGGTTTGATAATTAAGCAATTAAATAAAAGCAGACGATGTAGCAGTTGTTAGTGTTCCTATGCTTCAAAAGGATTCAAATCAAATAATGTGTTTATATATCTAGATTGATGGTCTAGATGTATGTGTGGTTAATATTTAGGAGTTATTCTTGGATAATGAAATATCATCAAGTTTTTTTAGTTAACTATATTTGTATTTTCTGAAAGGACGTTATTAAATTATATAAAATATCAAGGAAAGTACTCTTGGGGAGTATTTATGAAAAATTACATTTCAACATATTCTTGTGAACTCTGTGAAATGTTAGGTGGAAATAGTTTTGAGGTGTGTACTAAGGAGTATTAAGTGTAGTGTTGTCATATGAGGGCTAATGAACATGGTTGCTGTTTATAAGGGTTGTTGTTCATGTAAAAGAGCGTGGTCATCAGCATGGCTGAATAATGCCAGTGCTAATAATAGTGTTACAAGCCTTAGGTATGGATGACTGTGACTAAAGCATCAAGAAAATGTATTGTGAGTTTCTATTGAGTGTAAGAGTCAATAGTGTATAATGCTAATTGTGAATAAGTAATCTTGTGAAATCAGTGAACATTCATTTTTGTTTTGTATAGACAATTGTAAGTGTTTCACTTACAAAATTAGCTTTTACTTAAAACTTGAAAAGTAATGTGCGATTCCTCACTTGAGACATTTATAATTTAATTGAAAATCGAGTAATAGATGCATAATAATAGAAAGAACCAATGTGGTAAACTTCATGGAAGCAATTTTTTCTTGTCAACATTTTAGAGGAAAGACATTTCCCAAGATGTGCTTCCTAAAAAAGATGAGACTTTTCTAAGGTCCTTTAAAAAGATCATCTGTTTATTAATCTATAATAAACATATCTAAAAAGAGTGACACAGAAAGAGACTAGAGAAAGAGAACTCCCATCTCCTGATTTACTCACCAAGTGCCCACAATAGCCAGAGTTGGGTCAAGCTGAAACCAGGACCCATGAACATCACCTTGGTCTCCTGTTTGGATGACAGGAACACAAATACTTGGGTTGTCAAATTAGCAGAAAGATTAATTAAAGGCTGAGTTGCTGGAATTTAAAGCCAGGGGCTTAAGTGGTGAGCCAAACTCCTACAGCATCCTCCATAGTTCATAAAGAATGAGTAGGTTCCCAGTGAGTGGAAAGAAATGCAGAAATTCTAGACAAGACCAAGTCCAGCAAAGGTATGCAGAAAATAGCATGTCACAGTTTGTGCAGTTTACCTCCGCATCTTATTAATTTAGGTTTCTGGAGTCAGAATTGGGGGAGCATGGAAAGGTTTGGGTCTTTTACTTCTATCGGTGAACAATTCCAGATGCATTCAAAAGTGCTTCTTGCTAATCCTTAATCAGTATCCCATATGATGCTGGTTCGTGTCCCAGTTGTTCCACTTCCAATACAGCTACCTGCTTATGACTTGAGAAAGGAGTAAAAGATGGGCCAAGTCTTTAGGCCTCTGTCACCAGACCTGGAAGAAGCTCCGGGCTTTGGCTTCTGATTAGATCATGTCAGTTCCGGCCATTGTGATCATTTGAGAGTAAACCAGCAGGTGGGAAGTTTCTCCCTGTCACATTTCCTCCCTCACTCTCTCTCTTTCTTTCTTCCTCATTCCCTCCCCCTTCTCTCTGTAATTCTGTCTTTCAGATGAAAATAAATCTTTAAAAACGAATGTATCTGTTTATAATGAACAGCAATATATTCTATTTTTTTAAGTTTACTCATATATTTGGAAGAGAGGCAGAGATCTCCCACACACTGGCTCTTTTCCAAATGTCAATAATTACTTGCTTGAACAGGCTGAAACTCGAGTTTCTCACGAGGATGGCAGAGATCCAACCACTTGTTCCATTATCTGCTACTACGGTGCTCGATAGCTGGGAGCTAGAACCAGGAGCAGTGACAGAACTTCAACCCAGGCATTCTGAATTGCGATGTGGGCATCTCAATTAGTGTTCCTCCCACAATGCCAGATGTACACCTGATTAGCAATATTTTAATCAGAAGGAGGACAACGTGTGGTTATCGTAGACATGTGGAAGTATTAACTCGGAAAGATATCTCCAGAAATGTGAATTGTGTAACGTGTTACAGAATATACAACACCTCTGCAGTGGTTCTAAGGTTGTATTATACATGTAAAATGCCTGCATCCACACACACATACATGCAAAGACTCATAAGCTGAGTACTAAATTTGAGTTGTCATTTGTATACTATCAAATAATTGACATATGCAGAAAGAGAGTAATATAAAAAGCCCTTGTACTGGCTGTTTAGTTTTTTTACATATTGACATTTTGCCACATTTGCTTAAGATCTTTTTTATAAAACCAAATTTTTAAAAATCTAGGTAAATTTCTTTTTTCTCTGTGTGATTTCATATACTTGATAAATAACTGTTCCTATACTCAAATGTCTTCAGAAAAATTACTGTTGCCCTCTTATTCCAAATGAGGGACCTTCAAAAAAGTTGTGAAAAATGCATATCCCCCCAAATTTTCGTGAATTTCATTTTTTATCCAAAATAAACCTATCTTTAATCCATTTTTCCATGAAATTTTGGGGCAACCTTATATATTATTGCATAATTCATATAGATTGTTTTTTCTTCAACTTTTTTGAATATTTTTAATATTTATCCACATTTGTAATTTTTGACATTGTTTCTAAATATTCAGCAGAATTAGTTTGGTTACACCACAGTGTAATATGTTTTCTAATAGGTGGTGATCTTTCCAAATTTCTTATCATTACAAGTAATGCTATACACTGAATAATATTTGTATAAAATTTCTCAGGATATAGAATTATATTGAAACCATTCATTTTTAAAACTTATTTTCCCTTTTACAATTTTGCAGGTGTAGTGCTTCCTCCGTCTTTTCCTCCCATCTTCTTCTCCCCCCCTCTTTGTCCCTGTTTTGTAGTAAAATTATCTATCAGGTATAGTCTTGACTCCAACTTTCTGCTCTTTTCATGAAGCATGACACAACTGGTATAGGCAGTGGTAGAAAGTTTAGCATTTTGTTGTCTAGGTACATTTAGAAGCTTCATTTGGAGCCTCGTTTTATTCAGCAGTAGAGATGAATTCTGTCGATGTTCTTTGATTCCTGGTACTCTGGTCTCCATTATTACGTCTTTTATTTGTGAGATACAAGGGTGCTTGTTTACTTTTATTTTTTATTTTGTATTTTGATGGAGGCTGTCTTATGTTAGAGTGAATATGATATTAGTTCTTATTTCTATGTGTCTTACGATTTTGTTAACATCAGAAATCTATTTTACAAATTATGCTTTGGAGATATTTCTAGCTGCTTCCTTTTAAAAGTATTTACTTATTTTTGTGAATAATATAGTGACATACAGGAAAAGACATGGGGAGAGAACAGGGAAGGGAAAAGGAGGTGCATGTACACACACACAAACACACACACACACACACACATACAAGACAGAAAATTTGTGCCTTTTGGTTCATTCCCAAAATAGATGCAATAACCGGGCTTTGACCAGGACAAAGTTAAAAGCCAAAAACTTCTTCTGGGTCTCCTATTTATCACAGGTCAAGCACTCAGACCATTCTGTACTTCTTTCTGAAGCATAGTAATAGAGACTGAACAGAAATAGATGCCAAGGCTCAAACGTCTGCGCTGATATGGAATGTGAACACGGCAAGCAGTTATTGAATTCCTTGTACCAAAATGCTAGCCTTCCTTCTTTCTCTGTTGAATAGTGCTAGTGGCATATGATCTGCCACAATTTTACAAAGAGGAATAAATGTGCAGTTACCCTACATTATCAGATCATTTATTGGATAACTGTAATGCTGCTTTTGCCATATTCCATATGTTTTGATATGTTGAGTTTTCATTTTCATTTTCATTTACTTCATGACAAATTTATATTACCATTTTTATTTCTTCAAATGATCCATTGTTGATTCTGGAGCATACAGTTTAGTCTCCATATGTTTATATGTGTTCTAGAATTTCTTTTATATTTGTTTCTAGCTTCTCTCCATTCTAGTCAGAAATGATTCATGATATCATAGCCATTTTCTGAATTTATTGAGTCTTGTTTCATGACCTAATATTTTGACTCAGTATACAGGCTGTTCTAGAGGAGGATTTGTGCACAAATGAAAAGAATTTGCACAGTGCAGTTATGGCATTAAATTTCTGTAGATATCTATCAGGCCCATTTGGTCTATAGTATAGATTTAATGTAGATTAGCTTCATTGTTTCTTTGTTCACTTTGTGTCCTTTACTGAAAGTTGGGTATTGATGTTTTTGTAATCAAGCTTATGTCTACCTTTAGATCCATGACATTATCTTATAAACTCAGTGCCCTAGTGTTAGGTGTACATACATGAACTATAGTCACATCTTCTTCTGTAATTGATTCTTTAATTGTAGCATAATGACATTTTGTCCTGTAACCATTTTAGTCTATAAGTCTATTTTGTCTGATATGAGTATAGCTATTGTTATAACCCAAGCATTCTTGCATTGCCATAGTATTGAGCAGTGCATGTTCAACAATCACATGGAGCAGACTAGA